AAAACCGCACATTTCTATTAAAATCTTAAGATTTGCAATGAAACATTAAGAATAATCGAGACTCTGGCCGAAAACTTAAGTTCCCAACCATCCTGTGGTGTTGGGTCCTCGTTTTGAAGAGACGGTGCCCCGCGTCTCCTTCCTCCTTCCTCCTCCTCCTCCTCCCTCCTCCCCCTCTTCCCTGCGTTTCACCCACCCAGTACAGCGTTTCGTAGCCCCATAGGAGCTCCGCAGAAGGCCCCAGTGCTGCCGTCCGCATGCGTCCCGCACACCCATTTCGGCACACCCCTCACACGTTTCGTGGCCCCACAGGGAGCTCCACCGAAGGCCCCATGGTTGCCGCCCGCATGCGTCCCGCACACCCATTTCGGCACACCCCTCACACGTTTCGTGGCCCCACAGGGAGCTCCACCGAAGGCCCCAGAGCTGCCGTCCGCATGCGTCCCGCACACCCATTTCGGCACACCCCTCACACGTTTCGTGGCCCCATAGGGAGCTCCACCTAAGGCCCCATGGCTGCCGTCCGCATGCGTCCCGCACACCCATTTCGGCACACCCCTCACACGTTTCGTGGCCCCACAGGGAGCTCCACGCCGAGGTCCCGTGCTGCCTTCAGTCGGGCCCGCCGCACACACATTTCGGCACACCCCTCACACGTTTCGTGGCCCCATAGGGAGCTCCACCGAAGGCCCCATGGCTGCCGTCCGCATGCGTACCGCACACCCATTTCGGCACACCCCTCACACGTTTCGTGGCCCCACAGGGAGCTCCACCGAAGGCCCCAGTGCTGCCGTCCGCATGCGTCCCGCACACCCATTTCGGCACACCCCTCACACGTTTCGTGGCCCCACAGGGAGCTCCACCGACGCCCCATGGCTGCCGTCCGCATGCGTCCGCACACCCATTTCGGCACACCCCTCACACGTTTCGTGGCCCCACAGGGAGCTCCACCGAAGGCCCCAGTGCTGCCGTCCGCATGCGTCCCGCACACCCATTTCGGCACACCCCTCACACGTTTCCTGGCTCCACAGGGAGCTCCACCGAAGGCCCAGTGCTGCCGTCCGCATGCGTCCCGCACACCCATTTCGGCACACCCCTCACACGTTTCGTGGCCCCATAGGGAGCTCCACCGAAGGCCCCAGTGCTGCCGTCCACCCCCCCCCCACACCCCCCCCCCCCCACCCCCATGGCCGTCCCGCACACCCATTTCGGCACACCCCTCACACGTTTCGTGGCCCCATAGGGAAATCTCCACCGAAGGCCATGGCTGCCGTCCGCATGCGTCCCGCACACCCATTTCGGCACACCCCTCACACGCTTCGTGGCCCCATAGGGAGCTCCACAGAAGGCCCCAGTGCTGCCGTCCGCATGCGTCCCGCACACCCATTTCGGCACACCCCTCACACGTTTCGTGGCCCCACAGGGAGCTCCACCGAAGGCCCCATGGCTACCGTCCGCATGCGTCCCGCACACCCATTTCGGCACACCCCTCACACGTTTCGTGGCCCCACAGGGAGCTCCACCGAAGGCCCCAGTGCTGCTGTCCGCATGCGTCCCGCACACCCATTTCGGCACACCCCTCACACGTTTCGTGGCCCCATAGGGAGCTCCACCGAAGGCCCCATGGCTGCCGTCCGCATGCGTCCCGCACACACTTTCGCACACCCCTCACACGTTTCGTGGCCCCACAGGGAAGCTCCACCTAAGGCCCAGTGCTGCCGGTCCGCAGCGTCGCGCACACCCATTTCGCACACCCCTAACGCTTTTCGTGGCCCCACGGGAGCTTCCACGCGAAGCCCCAAATGGGGGGGTCTGCCGTCCGCATGCGTCCCGGCACACTCCATTTACGCAACCCCCCTCACACGTTTCGTGGCCCCATAGGGAGCTCCACCGAAGGCCCCAGTGGCAGGGTCCGCATGCCTCCCCACCACCCATTTCTGCACACCCCTCACACGTTTCGTGGCCCCATAGGGAGCTCCACCGAAGGCCCCATGGCTGCCGTCCGCATGCGTCCCGCACACCCATTTCGGCACACCCCTCACACGTTTCGTGGCCCCACAGGGAGCTCCACCGAAGGCCCCAGTGCTGCCGTCCGCATGCGTCCCGCACACCAGGTGTGTGGCGTGCCGACATGGGCGTCGCGGCGCGCGGGCGCTGCCGTCGGGGTTCCCAGGGAAGCCCCCTGCAGAGGCGACGCTCAGAGTCACGAGTACCGAGAGTCACGCAGACCCAAACTGTTCACAGTCGTCTACATACATTTACACTGGGCGTATCCATGCACGCATTCATGCGAATAGAATCAATCGCGCGCAGATTCATTCATAATCAGACTCGCTCGCGATCCGACTCGCACGCGCTCAAGCTTTCATATTCGGACCTATCGTCTTCGTTCGTGTTGTGTACACTGCCACGCATTTCGGCACACCCCTCATACGGCTCGTGGCCCCATAGGGAGCGCCACCGAAGAAGATATTCACAATTGCGGTACTATCAACTGCATATGGTTGGGTCCTTCGCCAGGCTAATTTTCTTAAGCATCGCCTAAGGTGCAGGGGAACAAAAAGTGACATAAACATAAAGACTCGGAGGTCCGCGCGGATTTCTCGGATCCGCGCTGGGGCCCCCCGGCGGCGCCTCCGGCGCCGCCCCTGGCGCGCTCCGCGCGCCAGGGAGGGGGGTCCAGCGCGGATCCGAGAAATCCGCGCGGACCTCCGAGTTGTTATGTCTATGTCACTTTTTGCTCCCCTATGGAGTATCTGGAATCGCCCGCGACCGCCTGGGGAGCGCTCGGCGCTGCCTGGGAACGTCCGGGCGTCCCTGGACGTCTGGGAGCGCCTGGGGGCGTCTGTGAGCGCCTGGGAGCGCTTGGACCCGCCAGCGGAGCACCTGGGGCCGCTTGGGAGCGCTTGGGCGCTCCTCGAGCGTGTGGGAGCGGTGGGGAGCTCATGGGAACGTCGGGGGCGCGGACCTTCTGGCGTTTACTATGGATCACGGCCTCGGGGGCGCCGATGGTATGTGTTTCTCCTGCTCAAGATTCCTTCTTCTGAGCTCATTTTCGGCCAGGCGCCGATCGCCCTCTGAAGCTTCCAAAAATCGATGTTTAGCTGTTTAGCTTGTGGTGCCGGCGGGCGACTTCAGAGAGCCCCCCTGCGACCCCAGTTCGATCCAGGGAGGGAGTCATGCACAGTGCTACGTCAGGTTCGTGTCGTGCCGACTTCGGCGTTGGTTTCTGACACCGCGGGGATCGCTCAACCTTGAACGATCGGCCGTTTCCGAAACGTCTACTCCAGATTTCGTAATAAAAGGGAGGGGGTCTGGACCCTCCAAGACGAGCCATTTCAGACCCCCCCCGTGGGAGAACCCTCCAAACCATCGTCCCCAGACCCCCCCAGGCCCTCCAAGATAGCCTGGAAGAGACCCCCCCCAGAAATGAGACCCCCCTCCCTTTATTACGAAATCTGGAGTAAATCGTTCCACATCGAACGATTCTGGGTCGCCCGCGGCGTTCAACGTTGAACGCCGCTGGCGGGGTCGCCGCCGGTCGACACGACACGGACCTACCGTACGCACAGGGTGTGGAGAGCGCGGCCAACCCTCCGCACCGCTCGGAGGCGGGCGAGCTCCAACTCCGCGGCACGCTCCAGCCACCAGTCGCTCGCTGCCCGACGATTGTCAGGGCCAACGCTCGCTCCACAAATAAATACACACACAAATAAAATATCCTCCATACTTTCGCATCTGTTCTGGGTTGTTGTCTTCCCCCCCACTTCCCATGTTTTCCCATATTTTCTGGGGCATCGACGATTAATTGAATTTGTGTCTGTGTGTTTTTCCCCTCCTAAAACAGGAGGTCAACACCGCATCGGGAGCTCAGGTCGAATAGGTTCTGACATCGGATCCGGCCGCTCGTGGGCACGCCGGCGGGGAATCGAGTCGGATCAGCTGCGCTCAGGTGTATCGGGGGGGCGTAAGACCCGGGTACGGGGGACTCGGAAATCCCCGACGAGGTCGTCAAAAAAATGACGAGGCCGAGCCTGCATTTTGACGAGGCCTCCCGCTGCAGACATCCCACGAAGCTCCGACTCGTCAAACTCCGAGGCGCGGCCGTCAAAAAACGATGGCGAACCCGAGTCCCGGCAAACCCGGGTCTTACGCTCCCTCGAGTGTACAAGAAGCGCCCAGCCCAGGCATCGGAATCGCCGTGTCACATCGGAACGGCACGTCGGAGTCGGATAGGATCGGGCCGGTCCGACGCCGATATCGAGGCGGGCAGGCTGGATCGAAGCATGAGCCCTGCGGAGACGGGGGGGGCGACGAGGAAACGATGGCGGCGGCCGTCGGGGCGGAAGACGACGGCGAGCCTCCACAAAACGCGGAGCCTCGGCGACGAAACAGCAGACCGACGAGGAGCCTTGACGACGAAACGAGGAGGACGGAGACCAATCGGCGGCGGCGGCGACACACGGAGGACGGACGAACGGACGACAGGCGGCAAGGGCGCGACACCAAGGCGTAACAACGGCGTTCAGAAGCGCCACTTCAGTCTGCAACTTCTCCTCAAACTCCTCCTCCTACGCCTCCCTCCCTACATCCCTGCTCCCCCCTCCCCCTCCCTCCGTCCCTCCTCTCTCCTACCTCCGTCCTGCTCCTCCCCCCTCCCCCCCGAACGCACCTGCCTACCTTCTGTCGCCCCGTTCTGCTCTTCGACCCTCCTTCCCTGCCCCCCCGCGTCCCAATCCTGCACAATTCTGCTTCCCAGCACCCTCCTCCTCCTCCTCCTCCTCCTCCTCCTCCGACCCATCATCCCTCCTTCCCCCACTCCATCCTGGGCCTCGTCCTCCTGCTCCCTCACCTCCTCTACCTCTTACAGCGCTTCCTCCTCCCCTTGCCTCCACAAGTTCCCCTGGCCGCCCTTGCAACAGACCGGGCCAGAGCGCCAGGGCGGAGATGGTCTGCAAGGCTGCTGCGTGGTGGACGTGAAGACAAGCAAAATAAAGATCCTGACCCACGCGAAACCAAGTAAGCACCACACGACATATATGGTGAGCAGCGCGATATCCTTGGAATGATCCAGCCAGCGCTGCGCACGCGCGCACGCACAGACACACGCCTGCCTCGGACGCGGCAGTGAGGTCTCACCGCCGGATCAAGAACTGCGTGCGCCTCTCTGGCCACCGCCCGAGCGCTCACGCACACACCTCCGAAGGGCAAGAGCAGAGGCCTCCTCCTCCTCCTCCTCCTCCTCCTCCCTCCTCCCTCCTCCCTCCTCCCTCCTCCCTCCTCCCTCCTCCCTCCTCCCTCCTCCCTCCTCCACCTCCCTCCCCATCATCCCTTCCTCCCTCCTCCCATACTCCCTCCTCCCATCCTCCCTCCTCCCTCTCCTCCCCCCTCCTCCTCCTCCCTCCTCCCTCTCCTCCTCCGCCTCTCCTCCCCCCTCCCCTTCCCTCCTCCTCCTCCTCATCCCTCATACTTTCCTCTCCTATCCTCCTACTCCTCCTCCTCCTCCTCCTCCTCCTCCTCCTCCTCCTCCTCCTGTGTGCGGGCACCCTGGCAACCATGGCACGACGGCCCCCGCGATCCTGCCACGGCGCATCAACTATCCGCTCGCCCCCACCCCGGCCAGGCCAACCCTGTGCCCAAAGTCGGGGAACTGCTGCCCCCTGCGTGGCTGCGCCATGACTCGGGGATGGACAGACCCCCCTTTAGTAAAACGTGGTTTGGTGAAAACGACCTGAGGCCAAAAGCTGGCGGGCGCAAGCCTGGAAAATAACGGCCGCGGCGCCCTCTCGAGAACCGAGAACGGACAATTCACTAATCGACGTGTCACTGTTGGGGGTTCTGTCCACCCCCGACAAAGTCAGGGAACTGCTGCCCCCTGCGTGGCTGCGCCATGACAGCGTCTCTACGCCCAGCATCTGATGAGGAACGAGAATCGAAGAAGGCCAAACCACAGGAACATGAACTTTTGGCGCTGGAGGGGGGTCCGGCGCGGATCCAAGAGATCCGCGCGGAGCGCCAAAAGAAAAGTTGATGTTCATGTGGATTGTTTCTTATTCGAGATAGGCGGCCACAAAAGCAACTGAGTGCGGCACACTTAGGTCGGGCCTGTCCCCCTACAGGCGGATGTTGGACGAAAAATCAAAACTACCCCGAACATATTCCAAACATGCCCAAAAATATGCAAAAGATCGTCCCCAGGCTATGTGTTCACTCGTCTTGAATACGCCCCCCTGTAGAGGGACAGGCCCGGCTTAACGATAGGGTCGGGTCGGGCGAAAGGGGGGGGATAGAGAAGGGGGGGTTTGAGAATCAGCTCACGTGGCTGATTTTCCCGGCGCCTCCCGGCGCCGGAGGCGGCCATGTACCGAGGAATGGGCCCCTCGGTGGGCCGAAACCAGCTGCATGCAGCAAATTTCGTAACCCCCCCTTTCCCAATCCACTCCTTTCTTCCGGCCCGATAGGGCAAAACAGGGCCAGGATCGGGATAAATCGCTCCAGAGCGTTCCGGAGCGCTCTCAGAGCGTTCCGGAACGCTCTGGAGCGGCCGCGGCGCCCAATACATCCTCCAAACCCGCCGATTCTCAGAGATTCCGAGTTATCCCGATCCGATTTTGTCCCGATCTTCGCGCCGTCTGATAGGGGGCCACACAAGCAGCCGAGTGCGGCACACACCGCCGACGGGAGCAGCGCGGGGCGCCCCGACGGCAGAGCCGGCCACGCTCCTCGGCGGAGCGCGGGGCCCCCTGCTCGCCGTCGCTCGGGCGTCCATGCCCCGTGCTTTTGTTCGGTCTCGTGCGCGGTTTTTCGCGCCGAAGGCTCAAGGAAGGTCCTCGATGGCCGTCGCCGAGAAGAAAATGCACACGCTCGCCATCGCTCGGACGTCCCTTCCCCGTGCTTCTGTTCGGTCTCGTGCGCGGTTTTTCGCGCCAAAGGCTCACGGGAGGTCCTCGATGGCCGTCGCCGAGGAGAAAATGCACACGCGCCCGAGCGATGCCAAGCCTGGGCCCCCGCAGGGGCGGTGGGGGGTCGAGGCGCCGCCCCCCCCCGAGCCAGGCCCCCCCCCCCCCCCGACGACCCACCAGACCACCCCAGCCCAAGCCGACGGGGCCCTGGGACACACAGATAAATACACACAAATGAAAGAGAAAGGATTCCCCACATGTTCCCATATGTTCTGGGTTTCTGTCGTCCCCCCCCCCCGCTGCCCATGTTTTCACATATTTTCTGGGGAATCGATGATCCATTGTGTCTGCGTGCTTTTTCTCCTCCTGACCAACCCGAAGGCCCGAATTTCGGCTCAGGGGGGAGGTATGGGCTCCATCTTTGTTGTTGTCGATGTTCCCCGACCCCCCCCCCACTGGGAATGGAGGGCAAATTGAGGCCTTCGGGTTGGGTTGGGGTGATTTGTTGGGTGGTGACCCCCCCCCTGTCGGCGCCCCTGAATCGACGAAGAAACAACCACATTCACATAAACTTTTGGCGCTCCGCGCGGATTTCTTGGAACTGCGCCTGGGCCCCCCGGCGCCGCCCCTGGCGCGCTCCGCGCGCCAGGGAGGGGGGTCCAGCGCGGATCCACGAAATCTGCGCGGAGCACCAAAAGTTTATATTTATGTGGCATTTTCTTTCTACTGAAGCAATCGCGAGCCTGGCAACGGGCTGGCCGGGACCAAAGCAGGTGGATCGCGGGCGCGTCCCCACCATCACGAGCCTGCGGGGGCAGGATCTGATCGGAATGAAGGTTCGTCGCCAGTCTATACGGCAGCACACCGTGTGCAGCGCACTTGGCAAAGCACTCGTGCAACAGAAAGACGAAAGAGGCAAGCATGCATGCGACCCTGCTCATCCACAACGAGGCTGCGGGGGCAGACTTGTTGGGGGCCTAGAAAGTGGCACCAACGCCAACACAGGGGGGCTGCCTCCACAGGGGGAAGATGATCCTAGATTTCGGTGTTGGTGGCACTAGTTCGGTCACCCTGGAAGCCAGAATATTACCACCACCACCGAGATCGGGACCTTCCTCCCTCGGTGGAGGCACACCGCCGATATTGGTGTTGGTGTCAACCGTTAGGCCTGCGAACTTGGTGCTCCGCGCAGATTTCGTGGATCCGCGCTGGACCCCCCTCCCTGGCGCGCGGAGCGCGCCAGGGGCGGCGCCGGAGGCGGCGCCGGGGGGCCCAGGCGCAGTTCCAAGAAATCCGCGCGGAGCGCCAAAAGTTTATGTGAATGTGGTTTTCTCTTCGTCGATTGGGAGGAAAAAGGACGAGCCGAGGGCGGGGCAAAATACACCACGCGCTTCGGCCGCGGGACGTGCCGGATCTGCACGACGCCTCCGCTGGCCGCGCCCGGAGAGAGAGGCAGGGGCAGACGGGATCGGCGAGAGAGCACGCCCGGGGAGCACCCCCAAGGGAGGGGGCCCCCCCCCCTTAGCCCCCCCCCCCTGTTACCAGCCTGGAACATATCCCTATCCCTATGCTGGGCATCTCCTCCTCACGATGCCACTCTTAGGGACTCCCTTTAGTTTCTGAAGGCGAATCCCTGAGATTGTCATCGCCTGTTGGCGTGTCAATCTTAGGGATAGGGGTAAAATCGAGGCTGGTAACCCTGCACCTGCCCTGCCAGAAGCCCCCCACCCTGTTTTTGTTCCTCGCCCCTCGGAAACTACCCCGCCCCCCCCCCCCTTTCTGACTACCTACCAGACCACCCCAACCCAACCCGAAGGCCCGAATTTCGGGTTGGGGGGGGGTAAGGGTTCCACATGTGCTTTTTCGATGCTCCCCGACCCCCCCCCCACTGGAAATCGAGGGTAACTTTGGGCATTCGGGTTGGGTTGGGGTGGTTTGGTGGGTGGTGACTTTCCGGTTCGCGCTTTTAAAGCTACCAACCCCCCCGTCCCTCTCCAAGGTTGTCAAGCGGGGGGGGCTTGGCTACCCCCCCCCACCCCTTGAGCCTCCCCTGCCGGAAGCCCCATCCCTCCTCTGTGGTTCCGCCCCTCGGCAACTACCCTCTCCCTCCTTTCGCCATCTGGAAGCTACCCCTCCCGCCCTTTCTCAGAGGGGGTGGGGGGGCTCAGCTACTCCCCCCCTTGGACCACCACTGCCGGAAGACCCCCCCCTCCTTTGAGCTGCTCCTCGGAAGCGACGCTCCCCGTGCGAACGTCGCCACTGGGGCTTTCGGTGGAGCTCCTTATGGGGCCACGAAGCGCTGTACTGAGCGAGAGAGACGCGTGCGAACACCGCCACTGGGGCATTCGGTGGAGCTCCCTATGGGCCACGAAGCGTTGTACTGGGCGGGAGAGATGCATGCGAACACCGCCGCTGAGGCCTTCGGTGGAGCTCTTTATGGGCCCACGAAACGTTGTAACTACTGGGTGGCGGAGACGCACGCGAACGCCGCAACTGGAGCCTTCGGTGGAGCTTCCTCTTGAGCAACGAAGCGCTGTGATGGATGGGCTGAACGCATGCGTACACCGCCACTGGGGCCTTCGGTGGGCCCCCCCTATGAGGCCAGTGTTGAATAGGAGTAACGCATGCGGACATCGCAGCTGGGGCCTTCGGTGGGGCTCCCTATGGGGCTACGAAGCGTTGTACTGCGTGGGGGTAACGCATGCGGACACCGCCACTGTGGCCTTTGGTGGAGTTCCTTATGGGGCCACGAAATTGCGCTGGATGGGGGAAACGCATGCGAACGCAGCCTGGGGCCTTCCGTTGAGCTCGATGTGGGGCCACGAAATGCTGTACCGGGTGGGGGAAACGCATGCGAAAACTGCCCCTATGGTCTTCGATGAAGCTCCCTTTGGGGCCATGAAGCGCTGCACTGGGTGGGGGGAACGCATGCGGATTCCGCCACTAGGGCCTTCGATGGAGCACCCTTTGGGGCCACGAAGCGTTGCACTGGGTGACGGGAACGCATGCGAACGCAGCCACTGGGGCCTTCCGTGGAGCTCCCTATGGGGCCGCGAAACGTGTGAGGGATGTGCCAAAGTGGAGGGGGGGTGGCATACGAACGCAGCCACTGGGGCCCTCGGTGGAGCTCCCTATGGGGCCACGAAACATGAGGGGTGTGCCCAGGCGAGGGGCCCCCACGAGCCAGGCGGGGCGTGGGGACCTCGGAGACATCTGCCACGTGCGACGAAGGAGTAGCAGAGGCAGCAACGTTCCGCGGCGTGCGGGAAATCAGCGAGGGCGCCAACAACAGGGCCGCCATGTCCGCGTCGCGGGCTCGGTGAAGGGCTGGCGCGTGTCGGTCAATAGACAACGTGTGGTCCCAGGGATACCAAGGCCCTTGCCCTACGGCCCTCTGGTGGCAAACTCGGGCCAAATCTGCGGGCCCCCTCGGGCCGTCCTGGGGCTTCGGAGGCCCAGCAGGGCGAGAACGCCAAACGCAGTCCACGAACCAAGAGCACGCGTGGACAGCTCGTTCTCCCCACGGAGAGGTACCGCACTGTGGATGTGCAAGCTGTGTGGTGCAAGCTCTGTGGTGCAGCGCGGCGGAAGCTGAGCGGGGCAGGCCGCGCAGCGCAAGATGGGGCGGTGCGGGCTGTGCGCGGCGCAGTGCAAGCTCTGTGGTGCAAGCCACGGGGCGCAGGCCATCCTCCTCCTCCTCCTCCTCCTCCTCCTCCTCCTCCTCCTCCTCCTCCTCCTCCTCCTCCTCCCTCCTCCCTCCTCCTCCTCCCTCCTCCTCCTCCCTCCTCTCCTCCTCCTCCTCCCCCTCTCCTCCTCCTCCTCCTCCTCCTTCTGTGGTGCAAAATCTGTGGTGCCGCGCGGCGGAAGCTGAGCGGGGCAGGCCGCGCAGCGCAAGATGGGGCGGTGCGGGCTGTGCGGCGACACCTCCGTGGCGCAGGCGGCGCAGTGCAAGCTCTGTGGTGCAAGCCACGGGGCGCAGGCCATCCTCCTCCTCCTCCTCCTCCTCCTCCTCCTCCTCCTCCTCCTCCCTCCTCTCCCTCCTCCCTCCTCCCTCCTCCCTCCTCCTCCTCCTCCTCCTCTCCTCCTCCTCCTCCTCCTCCTCCTCCTCCTCCTCCTCCTCCCTCCTCCTCATCCCTCCTCCTCCTCCTCCTCCCTCCTCCTCCTCTGTGGCGCACGGCTTTCTGGTCCACGCCACGCGGTCCAAGAGATGTGCGGCCGCCCTCCGCGCGAGGGCGCCCGCGGGCGGCGGCCGCTGGGCGAGACCTCGGCGCGCCCGCCTTGCGCCCACGGCGCCCACGTTGGCGCCCACGGGCGGGCACTGGGCGAAACCCTTCGAAGGGGGCCCTGGGACACACAAAGAAAGGCACACAAATGAAAGGATTCCCCATATTTCCTCCTCGTCCTCATCCTCCTCCTCCTCCTCGTGCTCCTCCTCCTTCTCCTCCTCCTCCTCCTCCTCCTCCTCCTCCGCTTCCTCCCCCCACTCCTAGCCCTTTCGATCAGGGTCGGCGGCACCGGCCGTCAGGCCTCTCCAATAAAAAGATTCCCCATATGTTCCCATATCTTCTGGGTGTTTGTCTTCCCCCCCACTGCCCATGTGTTCCCAAATTGTTCTTGGGACTCGACGATTCATCGTGTCTGTGTGTTTTTTCCTCCTCTGAACCTTGGCGCACCCGCCCAGTGCACGCGGCGCTCACGAGGCGCCCCCGGCGGACAACATCCGGCCAAAATCGGTTCCCAAACCCACTCCTGGGGCCTGTGCTGGCGAGGGTTTCGAGCTGCGTCCAGCTGTGTTGAGGCGGACCTCCACGAGTCCCGAAAAGGCCTCCGAGACAACCCCCCGACCCTCGACCCCACTCGATCCTCAACCCTGGAGGTCGGGGGGGCACGGGCGCTTCAGGCGCCGAAAGCCGCAGAAATTGAGAATCAGTCAACAACGTATCGGGAAATCGGAGCGAGTCGGGATGTGCGTCGGTCGGATCGGGCTGCATCGGCATGGAGTCGCAATCGAATCGGATCGGCCGCGCCAGGATGCATACCGACGCGATGCGAACACTGGGCCGCATCGGACCGGCGGCACGTCGGCATCGAATCGGATCGGGCGGGCCAGAATCGCCACCGAATCGGATCGACCGGATCGAGGTTGACCCTAGCTTCAGGCGCTAGAGGTCGCAGAAGGCCGTCCCAGGGGCCGCCCAGGGGCCCACCGAGGCTCCGGGGCGCGAAAACATGGATCAACGATCCACGGATTTTGCGCGCGGTCGCAACATCCATGGATCGTGGGAGGTGCCCTCCCCAAAATGCGGCCCGTGCCGCCTCGCTCGGCGGCGGACGCCCGCGATTTCTCATGGGAACGGGACCCGTCGCTAATGCACGCCTCCTTGATCCATGTTTGCGATCGCCCGAGAGGCATGATGGGCTTGTTTTCCACCACCACAACCATAAGTTGGAGGGGGAGGGGGTCCTCCTCCTCCTCCTCCTCCACCTCCTCCTCCTCCTCCTCCTCTTCGTCCTCGTCCTCCTCGTCCAACTCGTCCTCCTCCTCCTCTTCGTCCTCCTCCTCCTCCTCCTCCTCTTCGTCCTCCTCCTCCTCCTCCTCCTCCTCCTCCTCTTCGTCCTCCTCCTCCTCCTCCTCGTCCTCCTCCTCGTCCTCCTCCTCCTCATCCTCCTCCTCTTGGTCCTCTCTCCTCCTCGTCCTCTCCTCCTCCTCCTCTCCTCCTCCTCTCCTCCTCTCCTCCTCCTCCTCCTCCTCTCCTCCTCCTCCTCCTCCCCCCCTCCGTTTTCTGGGGTGGTGGTGGACGACGGGCCCGTCGAGGCCGCCGCCGCTCCCGCGGGCGCCCGCCTCGAGGAGGAGGAGGAGGAGGAGGAGGAGGAGGAAGGAGGAGGAGGAGGAGGAGGAAGGAGGAGGAGGAGAAGGAGGAAGGCGGCAAGGAGGAGGAGGAGAAGGAGGAGGACAGAGGAGGAGGGAGGAATGTGGAGCCTCGCCCTCCCTAGCTTCTGCTCCCTCCCTCCCTCTATGCGGGAGGGGGGAGGGGGGAGGGCTTCTTAGAACCACCCCTGCTTCTCAGAAGGCGCGGGCCTCATCTGTAGATGTCAGGCCAGGGCCTTTGAAGAACAGCAGCCTCCTTCTGAGAAGCCCTCCCCCCTCGCCCTTACCCCTTTTGTGCGCGCCGACGAGGTGGACAAACCTTGCTTTCGCAAACGACCCTTGAACGAAAACGGCCTAGGTCCGAAACCGACGGACCTGGACCCGCAAAAGTGACGGCCGCGACGCCCTCTCGCGAACCGAGAACGGCCAATTCGCTCATCGACGTGTCAGGGCAGGAGGTCTATCAACCTCCGACCTGTGCAGCAGACCCGAAGGGAACCGAGCAGGCGGGGTCGGAGGACCGCGCCGACTCGCCGCTGAGGCGGCGACGCGGCACGACCTGGAGACCGACGATCTCCATGCCGGCGTCGCCGATGCATCTAGAAAAAGAAAACCCACATCAACATAAACTTTTGGCGCTCCGCGCAGATTTCTCGGATTCGCGCTGGAACCCCCTCCGGGGCGCGCGGAGCGCGCCAAGGGCGGCGCCGGAGGCACCGACGGGGGGCCCAGGCGCGTACCCAAGAAATCCGCGCGGAGCGCCAAAAGTTTATGTTCATGTGTTTTTCCCAACCATCCTGTGGTGTTGGGTCCTCGTTTTGAAGAGACAGTGCCCCGCGTCACTCCTCCTCTCCTCTCCTCCTCCCCCTCCTCCTCCCTCCTCCCACAGGAGCGCCGCCCTCTCTCCTCTCCTCTCCTCTCCTCTCAATTTCGGCACACCCCTCACACGTTTCGTGGCCCCACAGGGAACTCCACCGAATGCCCCAGTGGCTGCGTTCGCATGCGCCCACAGCACCCATTTCGGCACACCCCTCACACGTTTCGTGGCCCCACAAGGAGCTCCACCGAAGGCCCCAGTGGCTGCGTTCGCATGCGCCCACAGCACCCATTTCGGCACACCCCTCACACGCTTCGTGGCCCCACAAGGAGCTCCACCGAAGGCCCCAGTGGCTGCGTTCGCATGCGCCCACCGCACCCATTTCGGCACAACCCTCACACGTTTCGTGGCCCCACAGGGAGCCCTACCGAAGGCCCCAGTGGCTGCGTTCGCATGCGTGCCCTTCGCCCAATGCAACGCTTCGTGGCCCCAAAGGGTGCTCCATCGAAGGCCCTAGTGGCGATATCCGCATGCGTTTCCCCCACCCAGTGCAACCTTTCGTGGCTCCAAAGGGAGCTCCATCGAAGACCGTGGGGGCGGTGTCCGCATGCGTTTCCCCCACCTGGTACAGCAGCTCGCGGCCCCACAACGAGCACAACGGAAGGCCCAAGGCTGCGTCCGCATACGTTTCCCCCATCCAGTGCAATTTCGTGGCCCCATAAAGGGCTCCACCAAAGGCCCCAGTGGCGGTGTCCGCATGCGCTACCCCCACGCAGTACACCGCTTCGTAGCCGCATAGGGAGCTCCACCGAAGGCCCCAGTGGCTGCGTTCCAATACGCCCACAGCCCCAATGTCGGCACACCCCTTGCACGTTTCGTGGCCCCACAGGGAGCTCCGCCGAAGGCCCCAGCACAGCCCTCATGCGTTTCGTGGCCCCTTAGGGATCGCTACCAGAGAAGAGACTCACACTTGCGGTACGCACAGCTGCATATGGTTGGGTCCTTCGCCAGGATACTTGTTCTTCTTCGAATGCTGGGCGTCGCCGATGCATCGCCGATGCATCGGCGATGCGGCGCGATCCTCCGATAGCATCTGCTCGGACCCAGTCTGGGCAACCTCGGGGCGAGGGGCCGAGGGAGGGCCCGCCCCAGAGAGCCGCCGCCCCATAGCCCCGCCTCGCCTCGTGGGGTCCGTACGCTCAGGGTGCGGCTCGCCTCGAACTGCCACCAGCAGCAGAACAGGCGGGCCAGCAGCTGGTGCAGGGACCTCGGCGCCGTGATCTGATTCTGTCTGGACTTAGGTCGGGCATGTCCTCCTACAGGCGGACTGAGGACAAAACATTTAAAAAGTGGCCAAACGAATCAAAGATAGTCAAAAGACCACGAAAAATCGTCACAATACTATTGTTCTACTATTCTTGAATACTCCTCCCACAGAGGGGCATGCTGGTGATTTGCCTTGGCCTGGACCTCAGGTGAGGAGCGCGCCCCATCTCCAATCGGCGGAGTGGCCAGAGCTGTCAGGTTACAGTAGGAGCTCGACCACAAGAAATCTGCCACAAGAAATCCAACCCTGCAACCCCAGGACGCCAATTGACTTTTGGTTTGGGGATGCCAGGCTTTCTTTCCGTGGCAAAATGGACCGCAACCGAAGAAACCCAGGGCGCCCTGGAGGCAGGCAGGATGTTTCTTGGAAAGGGTTTGCAATATAAAGAGCTAAAGGCGAAGCCAGGGCGTCAGGGCTGCGATCACAGGTGTCATGACAGGGAGCTACCTCTGCTGCCGTGGCACCATCGGGGATGCAGGGTCGACGGTTTCGTCGAGGCTGCGACATTGAAGATTCTCCTCCTCCCCCTCCTCCTCCTCCTCCTCCTCCTCCTCCTCCTCCTCCTCCCCCTCCTCCTCATCCCCCTCCTCCCTCCTCCTCATCCTCCCCATCACTTTTCATCCTCCTCTACCATCCTCCTCATCCTCCTGCTGCACCCCCTTCACATCATCTGTCCTCTGCGTGGACCCGCAACTCCTCCTCCTCCCCCTCCTCCTCCTCCTCCTCCTCCTCTTCCTCATCATCTACCGATGTGTGGTCGGTCATCGGATTATCTACGATCTTCTGCTCAATGGTAGTTGCCTGGAATGACAGCTGGTGCGACTGGCTGACGGTAATTGTGATAGTGGCTCTCTGTTAGACTGACGTCGATCAATGGGCGCGGATCGCATTGGCACGGACGATAGGCGGAGCAATCGGGTGAAGAGTGGCATGAATCGCGGGAATCATCTGGCACGTTCCCGTGGCGACATCTACCTCACCGCTCTTCCTCCGCCTCCTCCTCCTCCTCCTCCTCCTCCTCCTCTTCCGCCTCCTTCTCCTCAGGAACATCCTCCTCTTCACCCCTGCAAATTCAGATCCTACTCATCTTCATATTCCAGGTTGTTTGCCTGCATCATGACCCCTCCTCCTCTCCGCTTCCTCCTCCTTCTCATTATCCTCATCGTTCGCGTGTTTCCTCGTCGTCGTCGTAGGCGTCCTCCTCCTCTCACTCTACTAATGAATTGCTCCTTCCTGTCGCACGGCAATGAGTGTCGGCAAGGTGGGGCCAGAGACCCCTTATGTTTGATCTTGAGCCTTGAAGTTCGCAGCGGTTTCACAGCTGGAATGAGGTTCGTGTTCAACATGTGGCACGTAACTCCGCGCAAAGACGCACTAAACAATTGCAACCGTTTTACGGACGGGTGGTGGTGGTTTTCAATATGTGGTTCTCGCTGTAGCGCTGCGCAGACTCGTCTGATTTTTGTGCAGTACCTTCACGGACGGAGGGATGTTTTCATCATGTGGCACTCGGCTTGACAACGTAGCCTTGATCCGCCCGAATCTCGACTCGCCTGGCTCGATTCGCCCGTGCTCGATCCTCGGGCCGGGCGAAAGGGGGGGATAGCCCAGGGCGGGGGTGATAATCAGCTCGCGTAGCTGATTTTTCCGGCGCCTCCCGGCGCCTCGAGGCGCCCATGCATCGAGGAATGGGCCCCTCGGTGGGGCCGAAACCAACTGCATGCAGCAGATGTCGTACCCCCCCTTTCCCAATTCAACCCTTTCGCCCGGCCCGAGATTCGCCAACTCATTTCGCCCGGCTCGAGTCGCCTGGCTCGATTCGACTGGAGCTCGAATCGCCGGGCTCGATTCGCCCATGGCCTGCGGATGCTCATAACAGCTCTGTATTGAAACCAATAGGTCGTGAATGGGGCTGGTTGGCCACTCGCGAGAGCGTGTTTCTGAAGCGCACCCACACGTACATGAGCCGAAAACCTGAAACTGAGAATTCAAAGCCTTGAAGATGAAACGTCGGATCGAGTCAAGGCGCAAATCCTCGAGTCGAAAACACTAAAAACCAATGTACACGCGCATACATGCGTAATACATGCAATGCTCGATATGGTTATTTCGAGAACTGGGATATCTCTTGGCCAATGCGTAACCGTCGCCACTTCCGTGAACTTCTCGGAGGGGTATCGTAAGACAGCAGCCCCTTCCCACCCGAAAGAAAAACAGAGGCGGGGAAATACAGCACATGCAGGATTCGGCATTGCAGTTTCGCCACCCATGGACCCCGTAGCCAGTTTGGGCTCAAAGGGCTTGCGTGCTGACGTGAACTCACTGTTGTCGCCCAGTCTTGTAAAATTCCTTCAGCAATTTTGTTCATGGAATTATTATGTTGGCGGCTGTACGATTGAGAAACCGACGACCAAAATGTTTTTTCAAACATAAGGTGGCCTCCTTCCGTCGCCGGCATCCTCGTGGCGAAGGCGTCGTGGTTCGCTGAGGCAACTGGACGCCCTGCCAGATGATGAGACGTTGGGCCCCCTCCGTGTCGGGCGGCCTCGTTGGCGGGCAAAGGTTGTGCATGTGGTCCCTGTTGCACGTGGCGCAGGGCTCGCACATGCTGAATGGGATCCTCTGGCACGCGAGGTGGATCAGCACCTCCGCCCTTGCGGGCCCAATGAAGTTTCTGCGGTTGCCTCCGACGACGAGTCGCACGCTGGGCCCCCGGTAGCATCTGCAACGACAGTAGTCCTTCCACGATCTGGCCGTGGCAATGCAAATTTTGGAGAGCGCGTCAAGAAATTCCGTCGTCTTGTTGCGGGCGATCCATTTCGACCAGCACTTCCTCTGATCGAGAGAAATGGCCAGTTGAAATCGCATCGCCGCGACTGGAGACTGGGCGCTCAACGCGCGCGGAGACAGGAACAAAAACAGGCCGCCAAATCGACAGCATCTGCGCTTGTCACGCCAACTGCGAGCGCAGAGGCCGCCGTAGATTTCACAATCGAAACCGCAGGCGGGCAAACATTGAGCGACATGTCTGTCGCGCCCCTTGCCGCGCGGAGGGGGGCGCCAGACGCTTCGCCCAAGGGCCTCGGGAGCGGCGCGCCGTTCAATGTCAGCCATCAAACAGCGCGCGGACGCGAAGCATTGCGTGGCAACCCTCTGATTGCGGACATGGCCCAGTTCAACAGGGTGGGCGCGCAACGTCGGCACCTTCCTGCCCTTCTCGATCGCGAGCCCCAATTACCGCGGGAAGGCCCACCTGGCGACGCCGGCGAGCCAAAGCAAGGGCGCACGGTCACCGAATCAGGTAGTAGGCGCTATGTCACTCCCACCGTGAAGGCGCCAGCAAGTCAGCTAGGCTGGCACGCAGTCTGTAGCGAACGCGAGCGCACTGGCAAAACGCGCACTGGCCAGCGCCGATTCTAGCCTGGTCCATTGCTCCTCCGGGAGATGGGCCCGCGCCTTATACGACTGGAAGCAACTATGACGCGCTCCAGATCCATCCTGCGACCTCCAGGACGCTCTCCAGAGCGAAAGCCAAGGCGCGTGACATGACACCCGGGGGCAGGGATTGCGATGCGCCAGGCAGAGCACACAGAGAACCACATGCGCGGGCAGCTATCGCGTCCGAAGACACAGGCCTGCCCCCCCCCCCCCGCCCACACACACAATGAAGGCGGCGGTTTCACGTCCACCATCCCGCCATCCAGCCCAGGTTGTTCAAACGAGCCGATTGGCACGAGGGGGCGAACGTCTTGACGAGGCTCAGAGTCGAGCCCCAGTCAATATGGCGCCCACGGAAAACTATGCCCTCAGGAGCCCAATGACTGACATCGAGCGAGGAAGGTCGGGACGAGGGAGGACTGAGGGAGCGAGGAGACAAGGCGAGGGTGGAGAAATCCTTGCATGCGGAGGCGAGCCGTAGGCTTACTGGCTAAGATATTGACCTTGCCCGCCCGCCATGCGCTCAGGGCGTTCACGCAGGCTGTGACTGTCGGGTCCAAGTTGCCCAGGTGCTTGAAGCCATGCGCAGCTTGCTGCAACGTCAGCGCCACGGGTGCATCCAGCCAGTGGGCAGATGCCAGACGGTCGGGCTCCGCCAGCTTCGCCTGAGCGAGGCAGTCCACAGTTGCGAACTGGAGGCGCCGAAGCCACAGATCCCAGTTCTTGACGGTGTCGTTCGCGCCCCGCACGGGCGCGGCCCACTTCATGAGAGTGCGCTTTGAGAGGAGACCATTGCCCCGGCCCCACACACACACAAACACACCCATGCCTATAGGGGGGTCGGAGAGGGCTATGGGTGCGCGTTGTCGGATGGGGGTCCCCGTTCGAACGGGAGCGTTCCTCAGGGTCCGACAACCCGCGCCCGTACCAATAGCCAGTCCTCCTCCCAACGACCCCCCCATGGGTACAGGTGTGTTGTTCGTTCGTCAATCTTCACGACGAAACGACCGGTGAAGAAGATGCCGCAGTCGGTGGAGTTCCCACGATTCTTCCGTCGCCACGTGCTGGGCCAAGAAAGCAGCTGGGCCATGTAAGAGGCCTTCGTCACCGCGCGCTGGTTGCACAACTGCGCAGGCGCGCTGGCTGGGGCCCCCGCGCTTGCGATCGCGCGGGCCGCGTGCTTCCAGCCAGCAACCACCTTCTGCCAACGCATGTTGTTCGTGACTGAAGGGTATAGCAGCACGCCAAGGTACTCCGCTGCTGGCGCGACCTGCATGTCCGCCCAGCGCGGTGCCAGCTCAGCCAACTTCACCTTGACCCGCAGCTCTAGGCCAGCGGAGAACGCCTCCGCCAGCGGCGCGATCCTAAAATTCGCCGTCTCGGAGGGCCAGGTGCACCAGGTGCTCCGCAGCAAAGAACACGCTGCTCAATGGGTGGACAATCTGCGTGGAGGGGAGGACCGCGCCCACGTCGTCCGCGCAAACCCCGATGACACGCTGCTTGAAGTGGCGCGCGAGGACGAAGAGGCCCTCGACGATGGGGCCCACGCCAGCCGCCCACAACGCGCCGGACCAGGGGCGCCCCTGCAGGGTGCCAAAAGCGAGCCAGCAGAAGACCTGCAACACGCCCCCCAAGTTGGCCCAAGCCAGCGGGAACACGCAGATCGCGTCGACGATGTTGAGGACACTGTAGGGGAGGCCGCCAGTCTTGAGCACGCGGGAGAGGGACGTGCGGCACACCGACGGGAACGCATCGCCGAAGCCGAACATCATCATGAATGGACCCCGCTCCATTAATTTTGGCTTCATGGCCACCATCCGGGATTGGGCGTCCGTCATCACCGCGCGCTCAAGGAAGCGCCCGTCGGGGAGGAGCCCTTCTGCGCGCGGCGCGCGGCATTCGCAATGATCGGCTTCGTCCAGGAGTTGCCTGTAGCCGCTACGACGTTGCAGTCAGTGTTCTTCAGAGATCATGGGCGGGTCGCTGTCGCCAGCCTTGTCACCGTCTTGCAGCCTTCGGGCCCCTTGCCCTCTGGCGTGAAGACCAGGAGCGACTCGTGTAAGTTCGGGGGGCAGGGAGACCTTTCATTATCTCGATGGTAGCTTGGACGAGAATGTGCACAGCTTGTGGTGTCTTCTTCCATGCCATGAAGGGGAGCCCATCAGGGCCAGGCGCCGAGTGGTTCAGCTACTTGATGAGGTGCTGCGTCTTGCCGAGGGCGGGAATGTCCATGTCCACGCCGTCGCAGCGGGTGCCGCGCTCCTCGAGGTAGCGCTTCACGTTGTTCTCGTCACAGGGCTTGGCCTGGAAGACTGGGGCCCACTGTCGTCGAAGCCCAGCCATCATCTCGGGGGGGAGAAATCGTGGCGAAATGGTCATGGAGCACCTCGATGGCCTTGAGCTTGAGGACCTTGCCAGGAAGAGCCCAGAGCTTGCCGCGCCGCTGGAGAGCACGATGCGTGTTGCGCAGGAAATACCGTTCCCGCTGCGGAATGGACTGTACTTTACATTATGCCTGCGTTGCTTCCCACCGTTGAACTTAGAATTCGCGCTGCATTGCTCCGGACTGGCGATGGACGGCCACCGCATCCTTCACCGTGATGCTGTCCTGGTCGGAGATATCCAAATATTCTGCGCCCAGCACTGTCCGAGCATGGAGTGCCCGTGCAGCACGCAAGCCTTTCCTCCAGACGGCCCTTGAGATCACCCTGCAGGTGGTGAGGGCAGCCGCGGTGCAAGGGGCCCATGCGTTGGTGACGTCGTTCCTTATCAATTTAGCAGTTTCACGCTGTAGTCGTTTAGTCTCTTCGAGCTGCAAGAAGGGCGGCAAGTCGTGCCAATCGAGGTGGTTTGTGGGTTGCTTCAAGTAGGAGCCGAAGAGGTGATGTTCAAACATATACTGCGGGATGGGCTGAGCGTCCAAATCGGGGTCTGGTAGGCGAGCCGAGAGCCACAGGTGTACAGGAGCATGGCCAGACACGCCACGGTCGTAGAGTTCCTTCGGTGGAAGAGGCACGTCAACACGATCACACCATTGGAGAAGCATCCAGGGCGGCGTGCTGATGTAGATTTTGTCAATGCGTGTGTACTGATGCGGCTGCTCCGTGTAATGAGTGGGGATAGCAGGGCCGATTTCCGCCACGGTCAAGAGCAAGGATTCCCACAAAAGCTGATGTTCACGGTTGTGCCGACGAATTCGAGGGAGCCCGTTGTTGATGAGAGGCGTCAGTATTTCCAGCGGGGCCGTATCCATGAAGTTGATGTTGCCCAAGGCTACGATCGAGATGCGATCTGGATGGGCTTCTCCCAGCAATAGCTAAACACGTAGCGATGCAGTGGCCGAGTGCACCTGCTGCTCGGAGAGCCTGATGTTGTGGATATTGTAGATCAGAACCATGGTGGGCAGCGCGTCGCCACAAAAGTCGATCTTGATGCCAAAGCATTGAACTCGGCCAAACACGAGTTCCGTGTCGAAATTTGTCAGCGTTGCCAGCGTCAGCATGGAACAAGTCAGGGAGGAAGAGAACAACGCCACCAGTGCCGCGCTCAGGTATGGAGGAGAAGATGGCAGCAGACCGATGAGCGAAGTGGGCGGCGTGGAGTGGCTCAGCATGTGAACCGTGCACCTCCTGAAAGGGCCGCCACCGACGAGGAGCGGAGCGAGTTCATCAACGTCGTCACCTTGCGCCTGCTCTGCGCCACGTTGTTGCATAGCAGGGCGCGAGCGTTCCATGTCGAGAACGTGACAGGGGCAGCGGAGTCCGAAGGGCGCCAGGGCGCCAGCGTGTGGTTAAAGCCTCCACTGGACATCACGCTCACCGAAGGCAGTCTGGAAGAAATGCTCGAAACGGGACTTGAATGCTTCCCTGCCGATGTTGTGCTTGGTGCAGCCGTCGTTGTTAAAGAAGAGGCGTGATTCCGTCTCGCGGATAGCACCCACCACCACGGAAACTACAGGCATGTGTGCTAAGTGTGTATGTGTGTTCGTGTGGTATGTGTGTTATGTGTGTAGGCGTTATGTGTGTTCGTGTGAGGTTGCGTGCATGCGTTTCAGGCTTGCTGGCCATTTGGTTCAGCAATCATGGCGGCGCGAAGGCGGCTGAATGATCGCGGCGCGAAGGCGAGAGCTACATTTTGACCTTCCCTCCATCCTTGAACCGATTGCAAACTTGGAATACGAAGATTCCCGGTACTAACGCGAGAGCTTCATTCGGGAAACGTCCCGCCCTTCATCTTCAAACCTTTTGCTACATTTACCACGCATGCTAAACATCAGCGGTGGAGAAGTCTCAGGGGGGTGCGCCAGGGAAGAACTACCCATGAGGAGATGAGAGGTCGAGGAGGAGGAGGGGAGAAGGAGGCGGAGGAGCAGGAGCAGGAGGCGCACGACTCACTTTTCTCCATGACCTATGCGGTGCTGCGCACGTGGCTGCCATGCACACGTGAGGGGGGCCTCTCCTGGACCCGCTGCGCTCCCGCCAAAAGCCGAGCTGCGCCCGCCCGCGTGAGCAGACCGCGCCGGGCATGCCGCCGAAGCCCTTGGGCCCAACGGTTGCCTGCCAGCGTGCCCGGGCTTGCCTCGCAGCTCCCTCGCTTCTCGGGTCGGGCCGAAGGGGGGGATAGCCAAGGGGGGGTCTGAGAATCGGCTCGCGTAGCTGATCTTCCCGGCGCCTCCCGGCGCCGGAGGCGGCCATGTATCGAGGGATGGGCCCCTCGGTGAGGCCGAAACCAGCTGCATGCAGCGAATTTCGCACCCCCCCTTTCCCAATCCCCCCCTTTCGCCCGGCCCGAGCTTTGCGCGAGAATCAAGAGACTGCTGGCGACCTCTCGTTCACAAGCGCGGTGCACCGTCATTGGCGCGCCTTCGCGCCCGTGGCAGTCCTGAGAGGAAAGTGTGGACGGCCGTCGATGTTTGACGCTTTTCCCCTCCCCATACCCTTCTGCTCACAGACCCCCGACGTCTCGTTTCTGTTCGCAACGTTAACCCCCTGGGACTGGCTGAGGGTTCTCGGCCCTGTATGGCCTGAGAGGTAGACATTAGTCAAAAACCAGCCGTCGTGATTTTCACACGACGCGAGGGGGTCTGGGCCTGTTCCTTGTCATTCGGGGTGGTCCTCCCTCCCTTGTTCCCCAAACAGCTTGTCCCTATGGGTTCTATATTACTATGATGAAGCCCTGTCAGGGGCGTCCAAGAAAGGGGCGGCCAAGAGGGGGTTTGGCAAAGCATGGCACGAAGCACGAGCGCAGACGAGGGAGGGATGAGGGGACGCGTTGAAGAAAACCGAGGTGCCAGGACATCCAGGGAGATGTCATGGCCCCGGCCATGACATCCCTCACCTATCATCACCCCCTCTTGGCCGCCTCCGAAGGGGGTGCCCAGCCCCTGAAGTCAGGGGCACATCGTGCCCGTGGCCCCCCATCGTGAACTGCGTAGGGCCGTTTAGGCTCTTTTGCCGCAAGGAGGAGGAGGAGGAGGAGGAGGAGGAGGAGGAGGAGGAGGAGGAGGAGGAGGAGGAGAGGTTGTCGTTCTGCACCGTTCGAAGGTTTGTTTTTTCGGGGGCCTCATCTGGAGGCCTCTGGCAAGCCTCCCCGAAGCCTCCGCCCCGACCGGGCCATCCCCGAAAACTTCCGCTGGCGCCAATGGGGAACTGAGCGAGGGCCGACCGTCCCAGTATTCCTTAGGGAGCCCACAAAGGACGCACGCGCCCAGCTATGTACATGAACACGGCCCCTCGATCCGCGAGACCGGCCGCGTCATACGAATATTTGCGCAGTGCGTACTCTCGAAACCAGCGTGGATTCATGCACATGTACGTCCTTCTTTCGCTCCTGATTCCTATGAGCCTACCACGACATACGCTTTAACGAAGGAGTGTTCAAAGAGCACAAACCATGTCCTTAAAAAAAAACGGGTGTGATAAAAAATATTGCCGCAGCAATACACGTTCTCGGGGCATCCTGTGCAAACCAAGCACGATTCTTAAAACATGATTCGGTGACCCTATGAGGAGGTCAGGACGCTTCGCCAGTGCTCCAAGGAGGACTTCCCCACGAGGCCTCCTGGTAGGGGGCCTCCTGGCAGAGGGTCTCCTCTCTCAGAGGCTCCCTCGAAGGCCTCCCGACATTGAAATGGGCGACTTGGTGGTTAACTGCGATGGCGGTTGCTGCTGTCTGCTTGCGCAAATACAGACTACCGTCGCTCTTTTGAATCAGCGGCGCAGGCGAGTCGAGGCTGGTGAAGGCGCCGGTCGGGCTGTGGGCGGGACACGCCGGGAGCTAACTGAGGCACAGAAGCGGAGGAAGGCGCGGGAAAGGCAAAGAGTCGGGATCCGCTCAGAACACGCAGTCCACCGCGGGCGTGCCAAAGGAGTGCAAGGCGCCGAAACGCGGCTGCGTCACAGGCAGCGACTGGCCGGAGCCGAAACACGTGCAGATGTCGTACTTGAACGGGTGCTCGAAGGCCTCGGAATGGCAGACGCTCAGAGGGCGGTGTACCTGGACAGGTAGGTGGGCGCCAAGTGGACGGAGTGTCCCAGGAGGACAGGCCCAGGGAAGCCAGAACCTCCGCACGTGAGGTCATGGGAGCCAGGTGGTGACAGACTATCCTCAAGCAGGCCAACCATAGTGTTTCTGCACACTGGCTCTGCCACCAACTGCCCAGCAACCATGCCGAACATTCCAGAAGATTGCTCGGATGCAGAAAACGAAAGGAGAGGACGGGGGCGGCGCCTCCCTGTGTTGGAGGCGCCGCCCCTTTCAGGATGAGGACGAGCTCGTGCTGAGGTAAATGGTACAAGATCTGATGGCCAGCGTTGCAGATCGCTCCAGGACGCTCTGGAAGGTTTCCAGAGCGCTCTGTGGAGCCTTCTGACTTACGGATGTGTGGATCGAAGGTCGGTTTGCTCTGGAGGTGCGAGTGATCTGATCTCCGCCAGCCAGCGTGAACCCGATATCGGTTCCGGCGGATCTGGCATCAGTCCCGTCAGTTCACTCGGATCTGAAGATGATGGGGCGGAAGGAATTTCATCGTAGAGGCACCTTGGAACGCAAGGACACGAGGCACCTAAATCGATCATGTCTCCCAGAGATGTTGTTTTGCGCCGGGGGGGGGGGACCCCAATTGACGGTATCCCCTGGGCCGGGTTGAGCGTGTCGGGGCAAGGGCTTGCTGCGACTAGTATACGCGCGAGCACCAGCATGCCAGGGGAGAGTCCAGATCGTTACTGCTTGCCTGCGGGTTGAGAGGGGGCGGGCTTGGCCTGGCAACGACCGTTACGCGCCCGAGGATAAGAAATAACATCCCGACACTGTTTCACCCCCCGCGTTTGCCGGCACCAGGGGTTCGGTGCTGGTCTGGCGCCGGCACCCCCCGACACTGCCCCGCGCTTAGCTCAAAGCCAAACAAATATTCGGACATCCTCCTCCTCCTCCTCGTCATCATCATCATGCTCATCATCGCCACCATCATAAGCATCATCACCACCCCCATCATCATCATTTCAGAATCAGCAACATAATCATCAACATCATCATCACTATCAGCATCAGCATCATCATCGTCATCATCGTCATCATCATCAGCATCATCATCATCATCGTCATCACCACCCTCACCCTCATCATCATAACATCCCCGTCCTCTCGACAACTAAACCCTCCCACCCGACCTTGTTTTCACAATAGGTGGTGATGGAGGTCCGAGGAGGAGAAGATGGGCGCAGGCGGCCGTGGCGGAAGTCCGCGCCACGGCCCAGGCGGGCGGCCACGCCTTCCTGCAGTTGGCTGGTCCCCCCCGACCTCAGAGGGGAGGGGGTTGGACATGCACAGACACGGATGAGGAAGGAGGGGGGGAGCCAGGCATCCTTGAACTCCGAGCCCGTGCGGACTCCGACGAAACACTTCTCGCAAATCCTCTTGATGCCGATCCCCTCCGGCATGCCACCCTCCTTCCGCGAGTAGCTGCCCTTGCCGAATCTCCAGCCGCACTTGGTGCGCCAGAGGTCCGGTGTGATGTGCAATCCCTCGGTGGCGACGGCGTGCCACGAGCCCGTCGCGTCGTTATTGACCACTGCGCTTCTGGATGGTGCGCAGATGCCGTTCTTGAGGTCGCTGATCTCCTTCTCGAGCATGGTGGCCGTCCTGGCGTCCACCTCGTTGATCTTCGACTCCGGGATGTTGATCGCCTCATTCGTCGCAAGGTTCGTCTCCTGCTTCTCTGTAGTGATCAACTAATCGAGCCGTGTCTTGAGCATCTGGAGTGCCTCGTCGACGTGAAGCAAGCTCTTCTTCTCAACGAAGTCCTGAGTGATCTTGCTGGGCGGAGCTTCCTTCGCATACTGTAACAGCACGGGCGAATGCCTTCTCGCCACCAGCTCAACCTGGGAAACGTGTAGCCCGACCGACGCAAGGATTCGGGCCCCGCCTAACCTCGCGGAGTGTCCGCCCAGGAGCCTGTTGCCGCCCTCGTCCTGCGTGCGGAGGCCCGCCATCGTGCACGTGATCTCGCACGTGGCTACCACCTCCTCCTCCTGGGCGGCCTCCCCCGTGATGGTCGGGAAGAACGGTAGCCCTGCGGGTGCGACTCCTCGAGGGTCGGCGAACCTGTTGAATGGTAACTTCTTCTGTCTCATGGCCGAGTGATATGGGCAGGCATAGCTGGAGACCGCCTCGCACAGGCAGCCAAAGGTCCGAGACGTGGTGAGCGCCGAGAGGTCCGCCTTGGAGCCTGGGAGCACCCACTTGACCTCGGATCGCGCCGTGTCGATGATCACGTTGGCGCATGGGGTGAGGGAGCTCTCGGTCTCCCCCAGCATGAAGAAGACACTGGTGGCGGTCATGTTGACGGGCCCGATCGGTCCAGACGGCGTGAGAGGTAGCTCGCCGACCTTGCCGTCCTTCGCAAGCTGGACGACGGCAGTGAGGTCGATTGGCTCCTTCTGGTTGCCTGGTCCGATGCCTCGCAGCACGGATCGCGTCACCCTCCTCGCTTCATGATCCAGCTGGTCGGTCCACTCGCCACCTTTCTCAAGGTGCTGCTCTTTGATATTCGTGAGGTAGTTGGCGAATGATCTATTTCGGCCAGTCTGGAACAGTGCCCCCGCACCTTGTCGTTTCTCAGCGGCGAGGGGGGGCATCGGCACGCGCGGCATGCCAGGTCTTTGAGAGCGAGTCCTTGGTCCCCTTGGCCGAGGTCGCCACGAAATCCTCCGGTAGTCTCGCCAGCGCCTCGTCCCTCGAATCCTCAGTACTCGCCGCCACCAATGCTGCCTGCTGGGGCCCGCCTCTGGTGAACTCGACTCTCGGAGCGTCCGCCCGCTCCGCGAACTGCAGGCGCGGTCTCAGCCTGGCGCCGGCGCCATCGGGCGGGCGCGGCACGCTGCGGGCTGCGGCCGCAGTGCTCACCCCCGCCGCCCAGCCCGCGCAGCCTATCGACGGCCTGCGCTCTGGCAGGATACTGGACAGGTTGGTCTGGCGCCCCCCTCTTGCCCATGCCGGGCCTGGGCCAAAATGGCACGGGCGAGAGGCGGGGGGGGGGCCCCCGGCCCAGAAGTAAAAACACACGGTTTGGAGATTTTCACATGGAGCGCCCCCGAACTATGGCGACAGGCTAATTCTACAGTGGCGCTTCCATTTCTGATCGGGATCAAACCTTGGGGGCTCTCGAGGGCCAGTCGAGGGCCAAGGGGGAGGGGGGGGGGGGGGGGGGGGGGGGGGGCAGATTTCAACGCATCGAGCCACCCTCCGCGCGGGGGCCCGTCGGCCTCGGGGTGGACCGAAACCCCTGCGACATGGGAGACCGCATGCCACCACCACGTGTACCACGAGGGGCCACGGGGCGCGAGGAAGGGGGCAGGTCCCCCCCAGGCACGGTGGCGCCCCCCACGCCTCACACAGTTGTGAGCGATGCCCACCCCCGAATATTGCGTCACGGGAGGCCACGTGCCGCGGGCAACCGAAAGCTCACGGGCGACCCCGTGAAAGGTGGGGGGGTCCTTTTCAGACTGCACTAGCAGACGTGCGCATCAGCATTACATTCGTGCGCGTGGCCTGCGCGCGGCAGGCGAAAGCGGCGTGAGCCAATTATTACAATGCGCTGCAGCGCGCCTATCCCGCCCAACTCCTCTGCAACTGCGAAGCGGACGGGAGGGCGCGGTAGACGCTCGGCAGGCGCGGCGCCACGTGGAACTCGGTGGCGCTCTGCAGTGCGATGGGGTGCCTGACCAGGTGCCCAGGCTGCGCGCGCCTGCTGAGCTCGTCGGCAACGTCGTTGGCGATGCCTGGTCGATGCACGTAGGCCCTGGGCTTTTAGGCGCAGCCGCCGAACTCCAGCGCCATCTCGCGGCAGACTACGCCCAGGCCGTAGGAAGCAGCTCTTGCCCGTAAGTTGAGCAGTAGGGTCAGCGTGGATATGCTGTCAGCTGCAGCCGCCAGGCGGATGCCCTGGTGGAGCCAGACCTGCTTCCACACACGAAGTGCTACAGCATCGCGAGCGCCTCCCAGATCTGTTGTCCAGCGGCCCAGCCTAGCGGTGCACGCAGCACGACCGCGTCGGTCTGGGTGAGCGGGCTCGTGAAGTAGGCCTTCACCTGATCCCCGTTCATGATGTAGCCGCCCAGCCCCCCCGGCGACGCGTCGGTGATGATGGCAACCCGCTCGGCGCAGCCGAAGTAATCGCGCGCGCGGTGCACTCTCGATAGTGAGCCCAGGGTGCCTGACAAGAACGCATGGATCCACTCCAACGCCTGGGTGATCTGCTTCGCCCAGACGCACTGCCGCGGTGCGCTGCTTGTCTCACCTCGTGTGTGCGCCGCGATCGTGCTCCACATGTCCTGCGGAAATGGTCTCCAAGCCTCGATCATGCCCGCGAGGTGGTTGGCCTTGCCGACCAGAGACTGCATATCCTTGACAGGCGCGACGTTGGAACCTCTCATGGTCGCGATCATCTGGCGCGCGTCGTCCACGATGTCCTGCGCGGCCGTGACCTCGATCACGGGCTCGGGCAGCACCTTGCAGGAGAGGCGCGCTCCGATCCAGTCCACCTCCTGGCCCCTCTCCGCCGTCCTGAAGGCGAACTTGAGGCCCAAGGTGCGCCGCGCGAGGATGATTATAGCGAAGTAGATGTCCCGCTGCGCCAAGTTCCCGCGCACGGAGATGATCGGACCACCCACGTAGGTGTGATGCCTCAACACTGTTGGCCGGAACATTGACTGCGTGAGGCGCGCCACTAGGGCCGCCACGCGTCCGCGCACGAGTGGTGCGTTCACACTGCCCTGCGCCATAGTGAGGAATATGATGAACTCGCCGCCATAATAGGCCACGAAGTGTCTGCGCTGAACATGTTTCAGCGGGATGTTGTAAAACCAGTCCGTGAAGTCCAGCACGAGCCATTCCACTACTTTTTGGGGTTCGTGCTGGCACTCTCTCAGTAGGTAAATGGCATCGTCGATCACGTCAGACAGCCGCGGGAGAACGATTTTCTGCTTCTGCCGACCTGTAGCATTGACCCCCGATTGCTTACAATCCAGGATCAGTCGCCGCTTGACCTTCCCATTCTTGATATTGGTGATCATGCCAAGCATGGACACGTCAGGCTTGGCCCCTATCCATGCGCAGGCTTCCTTGTACGACTTGAAAAAGGCCACGCAACCCGTGGCCTTGAGCCGGTCAACCTCTGGCTTCGCCTCCGGGCCGCCGTCGACCAACGAGTAGTTGCGGAACTCGGGTTCGTCATCATGCTCATCGAGGGTGTCATGGCCGAGCTCGCTGGTCTCGGCGTCCACCCTGGGGAAGATGCCAGGGCCCTCGGCGCCCACCTCGATGCCCGCGGGCGCGCCCTGCTTGAGCCAGTCCTCGATGTAGTCCCCGTCGATGTCGTTGGCCTGCCTGGCCCAAGCAGCGACGAGGCCCGCCCTGATGGGCGTGCTGCACATCTCGCTGGCCGCGCCTCCAGCGTCGCTCGTGCCCATGATATGGCCCAACATGGTCGCGACCTCGTCTGGCGCGTCCGCGCCCGGGCCCGCCGCTTCTGCGTCGGACCCAATAGCTTCCAGGCAAGCCATCTGGATATGAGGATTGGCGTCCAGGTGCTGCTCGATGATGTACCTGAGATGCTCTGCCTGGGATGCCTCACGCCACCGATGTACAGCTCGTTCTCGCGCCCCCTGATCTTGACGTCCCTGGTACGATCTCCTGGGAATGAAAGGCTGAACTGGATCTTGCCTCTCGCGCGTCAGCTCTGGTCCGCAGGTCCCAGCGCAACTGGCGGCATCTGGGACTCGACGGGGGAATCTGGGCCCAGCCCACGACCAACACTCGGCGCAACCGCTGCACATGCAGCGGAAGAATCTGGGCAGACCCCGCGACCGAGATGCGGCGCGCCCGTCGGCCCTCTGCCGCCAGAAGAATCTGGGCCAAGCCCACGACCGGCACCCCTGCTATTCACATGCGTTGGGTTGACGTCTTGATGCCTGACGAGAGTGTTCTGCCAGTGGCCTACCTTGACGAGCTGGCGCGCCTTGCAACTGACGCCCTGGGTCTGTCTTGCTCTCATCGCAAGCTTCTCCGCGAAGTGCATATTGAGGCCCGCTGGGTAAGGCTGCGCCGAGCTGGTGAGGAAGGGAGTCCTACTGCACTTGCTCCGGCACTGCTTGTCGTTCAGGGGCATGCTCCTGCGCCACCCGCCTGCAGGCACTAGCTTCTCTTTGCCCACGAGTGGAGGGCGCGGGCGGAGGTGCCGTTCGCCCGTGGAGGGGCGCCTCCACCATCGTGGTCCGTGCGAGCACTTGCCGAACGCGTCCGTCAGGTCAACCCCGATCGCAAGGATGGAGCTGCGCTTCTCTGCTGTGGCGCCGTACTCGCAGTGGACCAGATCGTGCATGCTGACCTCGTCTCGTTGCCTGATGGACTGGAACTCGTCCGGGTTGCGCATGCTCGCCCCCTCGGCGCCCTCTGGGTCAAAGTAGGGCTGCTCGTTGAGGGTGGGCGCGCCGCCCCTGCAACTCGCGATGAGCACGTCGCTCGCCCTCAACGCGAGCAGGGCGCCCTTCTTGACGTTGTCCTGGCCCTCCGGCGCGAGGTCGCGCAGGCCGCGCCTCTCGTTGCCCCCAGGCCCCCCGAGGGGTGGAGGTCCGCCGATGCCATCACGCCGTCGACGTCGTGCCCTGGTGAAGGCGTTGCACGGCGGCGCCATGAGGATGCCATCAAACTGTGACCTTCTCGCGTTTAGGCGTCGCCAGTTTTCCCGCTCGCGAGGTCGCGCTCGTCACCGTTGGTGATGCCCCACTCCTCGCACTCGCCCCCATGCCCCTCACCGCTTCGACGAAGCCGTCTCGTCGCCCAGATGGCCCGCTGAATAGGTATAGGAACTTGAGGTAGCTGGCGAGGTCGTTCGGCAGTGGTTTGTCGAGGTCGGTGGCGTAGCTGTTGGCGTCAACGATGTCTGAAGGCGTCTGTGCGCGCGGTTTGACGTCGTGCATCTGAGTGGAGTCGTGATCATTCTGCAGCAACACTAGTCTCCCAGTGCCCTGGTTAGATACATACTGTCGCTTCAACCCCAGACCAGATGCACACCCGCCCAAATCCTCCTGCAGCTGACTGTCTGATCCCGCCGAAGATGCCGCTACCTTTTTTCGGCGGCGCGGGCGGGGGTCAGCCCCGCGCTCCTTTGCCTCCTCCTCCGCGCCCACCGCCGCGCCCGCCAGACCTGTTGGCGCGGGGCTGGCGGGCGGCCCTGAGGTTGCACTAGTAGGCGCCGTGGTCGATGGAGAAACACTTGCCGCACTGGTGCTTGAGGCGGGGCATCCTGCGACAATTGTTCCTGGCGTCGCGCTCCGTGCATTCGACCGTCTGGTGCGATCTGCACAGCTCGATGCCCTCTTCTATTGTGCGTGAAGAGTCCGTCAGGTCCAACTTTGCGCGCTCTGCCCGCGCTGCCGCTGCAGCCGCCGCCGCCTGGGGGGCCCCCGTCGGCCCTCTGGCACTTCTGATGTTGCCCGGGAGGTAGGGCCGCCAGGGGCTGCGACGGTGGCCCGACAGCGCTCGATGCCGTCGCTGCTGGCTGCTTGATCGGCGCGTCGTGGTCGATCATCTGGTGCAGCGAGGCGGCGCGCGCGAGCACCGGCACTGCCAGTTCCTGTACTTCTCTTAGG